AAATGAGTCCCCTGTCAATACACAATTGTAAATCAGAACAAGGAACCCTTCAACAGGTGTAATGTTGCACGTTTGCAGCAATCCTTGTGTTTTTCAGAACTATGGCTTGCCCAAGGTCATTTAGCAGCTGCAAGTGGAGGAGGAGTGTGAAATCAAACCTGGTTCTCCCAGATCAGAATCCGTGCACTTAACGACTACACCAAACTGTACGCATAAGAACCTGAGCGGACTTGCTGAATTAGATTCAATCCCCGTCTGTTATGTCCGCTGACTGCCACCAGGCGCCAGCGACTCATACCAGAGCTTAGTTCTCAGAGACAATAGGGACTGGGCTCCTGAAACCTCTAGTGGTCACCAATAGGGACGTTGATGGGAAGATTAAACCCTCAAATAGGACCTGTGGGTGGGCCAAGGGGACTGTATATAGTTGGCCGACTGGCCGGTATTTTTCGTTGTTATGTTGTGTACGAGTAAACATGTGCTGACTATCACTCTGTTTCCTGATTATTCAATGCGTCGAACCCACTACACAACACCATCTAAGTCCACCATCCTGGGTTTTTCCCACAGTGGCCAACCGGATGCCCCTCCGAAGGCCTAAACAGCAGGGCACAGAAGCAAAGGCCTTCTCTTCCTGTTGCTTCCCTCCCTGTCGCTGGGTGGGCAGTGGCTCAGTGGCAGAGCACATGCCGAAGGTCCCAGGTTCACTCCCCGGCATCCCCAGCTTGAAAGGATCTAGCAGTAGGTGATGTGAAAGACCTTTCTCTGCCTGAGACCCTAAGAGGCACTGCCAGTCTGAGTAGACAACACTGACTTTGAAGAAGAAGAAGAAGAGATTGGATTTATACCCCGCCCTTCACTCAGAGTCTCAGTGGTTTAAAATCTCCTTCCTTTCCTCTCCTCCCTGTGAGGTCGGTAGGGCTGAGAGAGCTCTTTTGAGGACCGGTCTTGAGAGAACAGCTCTGAGAGAACTTGTGACTGATCCAAGGTCACCCATCAGCTGCATGTGGAGGCGCGGGGGGGTCAAAGTGGGTTCTCCCAGATTAGAGTCTGCCGCTCTTAACCACCACACCAAACTGATTCAGGTCTGATTCAGTATAAGGCATCTTCCGACGTTTATGTAGTCAGGCTACTGCCTCTGAACGTGGAGGTTCAATTTAGTCCGGCACACCTAATGGTCACTGAGAGGCCTATCCTTTGTGAATTTGTCTACTCCCCTTTTTAAAGCTGCCGTGGCCACCCCACCCCGTGGCGGCAAACTGCGCCAGTGAATTGCTCTTGGCGTAAAGGAGTCCCTCCTCCGAGACCAGCTTTACCGGGAGTCGTTGAAAGCGTGCCATTCCCCAGACAAGGGGTTCTTGCAGTAGGCGGTGTAGTGGCCCCCCATCGTGGTCCCGCTGTGGTTGGAGACGGCGTACAAGTTGTAAATTGCATGATCTGCAAAGGGGGGGGGCGTAAGAATAAATCAAATACACGTCACTAAAAGAGATCTGAGCAGACTGTCTTTCTCCTGCCCTTCAACTCCATAAGAGCCCTGCTGGTTTGACCAAAGGTCCATCTTGGCCAGCGGCCTTATTCCCACAGTGGCCAACTATGATTCTATCTTTAATAAGTGGTTGGACAAACCCTTGTCAGGGATGCTCTTGGCTGATCCTGCATTGAGCAGGGGGTTGGATTAGATGGCCTCTACGGCTCTTTCCATCTCTGTGATTCTGTAGTTTGACTAATAATGTTTTATTCATATTTTCTGTATGTCCCAGAGAGGGGATGTGTGGTGGTGGAAGGTGCGATCGAGTGGCAGCCAACTTATGGTGACCCTGTAGGGTTTTCAAGGGAAGAGCTGAACAGCAGAGGTTTGCCACTGCCTGCCTCTGCCTCTGCGTAGCAAACCCAGACTTCTTTGGTGGTCTCCCATCCCAAGTACTTAGCAGTCAAGATCTAATGAGCTCTTGACAGAAACGGCTCTTTTTCAAGAACAGCTCTTATCAGAACTACGGCTTGCCCAAGGTCATCCAGCCAGGGGCAAGTGGAGGAGTGGGGAATCAGACCCGGTTCTCCCAGATTACACCAAAGAAAGTTTTTATTGTAAGTAAAGAAAGAGGTTGTTAGCCTGAAGCCAGAGGCCAGCAGCAGCCGCCACACAATAGCCCAGCAGCAACACCAGTCTTACAAGGGTGCACATGCATTTGCAAATGCATGGCTGTGATTGGCTGTGGGGACCCCTCTCCACCTCCACCTCCCTCCCTGATTCCAGGGAAGACCAGGAGAAGGCAGGAAAAGGCTGCTTTAGATCGGCTCTGGACTCTTCTTTCTTTATGCTTCCACCACCCACATATTTTTATTCAATGCCCCCCAATTGCACCCAAGGCTCCTACCGCCCACTTGGATCGTTCCAGCGCCCCCCAGGGGGCAGTATTGCCCACTTTGGGAACCAGAGGACTATACGGACTAATAATGATCTTTGAAGGAGGAAACATTGTAGTTTATGCCTTGTCTATTGTTATATTCAGGGGTCATTTCCTGCAGGAGCGCACAGGAGCGGATCTCCGGCAGTAAAGAGCCCAGGGGACAGGCACATGCAACAAGCCCCACCCCCTGCTCCCAGCAGCCCCAGGCCATGAGGAGCAAGAAGCCTCCTTCCTTCCTTTCCCTTTCCATCCTTATTTCCTTCTCTCCCTCTTTCTTTCCCTCTTTTCCTCCTTCTTTCCTTCTCTTTCTTTCTCTCCTTCCTTCCTTCCTTTCTGCACAGATCTGTGCATTCCCTCCCCCCAGCTAGCAATCCAAAACAGTCCAGTGGCACCTTTAAGGCCAAGGTTTATTCAGGTACAAGCTCTCCCTCCTCTGCGAGGACAAATCTGCGCGTCCCCCCCCCATAACTAGCCTGAGCAGTGGGTGTTGCCTTCTGACACACTTCCAGTGATGTCAGGGGGTATGGCATATGCAAATAAGTTATGCTAATGAGTTATGCTAATGAGCCCGTGCACCTCTTTTTCTACGGAATGACCCCTGGTTATATTCATAGTTATAGTATGCACTTATTTTGATGCTGTGACACCGCCGACTTTAAAATTGTGAAATAAGAGATTATAATTGTTAAAGAGAGTTTATATATCTTGGCCATTAGTGATGGTGTTTTTCCTGGTGGAATTTGCATTTTCAATATCTTTGCAACGCTGGCTTCCCCGGCCGTTTGGATTTAAATTCCGACCCTCGTCAGAAACACTCACTGCAGCTTTGGGAAGCGAACTCCCTCAGGTCTAGGTCCTTGAGTGGGAAGTTGACAAAGGTGGTGAGCTTGCTGGATCGCATCCTGGCTTCGGAAAAACGCTTCAGGTCTGAGACAGAAAGCTAAGGAAGAAGAGAGACTACGAGGGCGGGTTTACAGGGTGAGAAAGAGGAGTTTGGACGCTCGTCTGACTTCTTCCTTTCTGCGGAAGCAGAGCTCTGCTCCTATTTCTGCTCTGGGGAAAACACTCTCATTGCTCTGTGGAAACGGGCTGGCCGACCAGCTCTAGACTGATGCACAGCCGTGCCTTGAATCAAAACGCTAAGAAAAGCTGACCCGTATAAATGATTCACGCCAAGCCGATTTGCTTCTTTTGAACAACTTACTCTGCTAAGATATGGGCAAGAGCTCCCCACGTGCCACCCCACTCCCAGACTCTGACGCTTGAGGTTTCAATAGGCGTTGCTCACATACTTCGAAGCCTCCTTGATTCCGTGTGGACTAGAAACTTGCTAGCTAATATAAAACCAATACATTCAAAATAAAAGGCAATTTGGCAATATCCATTTCTGTGCTTCCGTGGTGCTACGGTGGAACACCAGAGCGCACGCTGCCCTGCCTGTTACTTTCTCATGGGCTTCAGAACAAGGCCAGAGGGTGGGCAAAAGGATACGCAGCACCAGGATCTTCGGGAACCGCTGGACGCTGAACTTCTTCGTGCACTTCGTTCTGGCTTTGCAGCGGCAGCAGGTCTGGAGAGAGAAGGATCTTCGGGAACCGCTGGACGCTGAACTTCTTCGTGCACTTCGTTCTGGCTTTGCAGCGGCAGCAGGTCTGGAGAGAGAAACGGGGTCACGGTCAGGGGGAAGATAACCACGTGAGTACTGGCGGGGTGAGGAGACACATAAGAACATAAGAACATAAGAGACGCCAATGTTGGATCAGGCCAAAGGCTCATCCAGTCCAACACTCTGTGTCACACAGTGGCCAGAAATACCAGTGCCATCAGGAGGTCCACCAGTGGGGCCAGGACATTTGAAGCCCTCCCACTGTTGACCCCCCCCCCCAAGCACCAAGAAGACAGAGCATCACTTGCCCCCCCCTTCACTAGTTCCGTGCCACCACCTGGTCACACACATACACACAAAGCTGCCTTAGACTGAATCAGATCACTGGTCCATCAGAGTCAGGAGTGCCGACTCAGACTGGCAGCGGCTCTCTAGGGTCTCAAGTGGAGGGGTTGTGGCTCAGTGGCAGAAGCAACACGAAGGCCCCAAGTTCAATCCCTGGCATCTCCAGTTGAAAGATCTGGTGGTAGGCGATGTGAAAGACCCCAGCCTGAGACCCTGGAGAGCGGCTGCCAGGCCAGGCCTGTAGCCACGGTGGGGCATCTTGGGGCTAGGCCCCCTGGCTTGCTAGCAAGGCCCTACAACTTCCCATCCAGCCCAGCCCCCCAACCAGCAGGTGCAGGGGAGAGAGCCAGGTATTCCTTCAATTCAATCAGCCAGTTCCCCCTAAGAAATTTAAATAATAATAATATACTTTATTGTCATTGTACATAGTACAACGAAATTGAAGATGCCATCATTTCGGTGATCTACAACAATATTCATATACACTCACACACCATTCACAACTGTCCGATAACTCCCTTATGGTTCACACAAGAACATAAGAACATAAGAGATGCCAATGTTGGATCAGGCCAAAGGCCCATCCAGTCCAACACTCTGTATCACACAGTGGCCAGAAATACCAGTGCCATCAGGAGGTCCACCAGTGGCAACTTAAACCACCAATGGCAACTTAACTACCACTGGTCCACCAGTGGCAACTTAAACCACATAGCAACTTAAACCACCAATGTCACCCAAATTCCAATTTCATACTGCATTTAAGGCAATAATAGCTCTCAAATAAAAACTAATTTTTAATCTATTTGTCCTTGCTTTAATTGTCCTATATCTTCTGCCCGAAGGCAGCAGTTCAAACAGGGAACGTTCAGGATGTGACAGATCCTGCAAGATGTTCTTTGCTTTTTTCAAACATCGAGAACTATACAATTCCTCCAGGAATGGGAGAGGGCAGCCAATGATCTTCTGGGCTGGAATAACAACTCTCTGGAGTGCTTTCCTCTCCACAGCCGTACAACTGGCAAACCAGGCACAAACAGAATATGTTAAACTGCTCTCTATTGAGCAGCGATAGAAGGACGTCAATATCCAGGACCCCCTGACTTTAAAAATCCTGGCTATGGGCCTGTGCCAGTCTGAGTAGACAGCACTGACTTTGATGGACCAAGGGTCTGAGTCAGTAAAAGGTAGTGGTCATGTGTTCATGTGTGCCTTTCACATCACCTTCCACTCGATCCTGTTAGCTGGAAATGCTGGGGATTGAACCCAGGACCTTCTGCACACAAAGCGGAGGCTCTTCCTCTTGAGCCACGGCCCCGCTTCCTGCTGTCTCAAGGACCACTGACTGCCTTATGCTGCTCTTTG